CTCGCGGTTTCATGGTTCCTGTTTACACAGTACACTGCTGGGTACTGCAGCTGACAGAGAGAAGTAATCTAAATCACATATTCGTGAAGCTTACTAACAAAGTAATCTGCTCTTATTTGCTTTAAATTCAGCACATACTACAGTTGCCCAGAAATGCAACACACTACTCATGCCCGTTCAAGTTAAAAAAATAAAACTTAAATATTCTAGACATCTCTATATAATCTTAAAATAAGTAGGGTTTTTATTTTCTTAGTACAGACCGAATTGTTGCATTTGTCACCTCATACAAAGTGTTTCACTTTTGTTTTCCTTCAGAATTAAAGGAAATTAAAATTCTATTTAAAAAACAACATAAGCTAACCAAAAGACAAGCCATTTCCGCAGGAATGATTTGGTTTTCAGAGTGTGTGCTAACCCTTCATGCCTTTGTTCAAGTGTTAAAAAGTAAGAAATGCTCATAAATTATAGGAAGGCCTGCTTTAATAGAAAAACAAGTCAAACAAGTTTTTGATTTTTGTACAACAATATCTACAGGCAAAATTACCTGATAGATATACATAAAATATCTGTTTCATATATTTATAATAATATGGTGAGTAAGATGCATTAATAGAATAATGATTCAGCTACAGCCCAGCAATAAAGAGTTAAATAATTTGAGGAAAGTGAAAAAATATATATATTTTTTTATTTGCACAGAAGACTTTCTACAGAGTGTGGACCTGGAATTTGTCCAAAGCTCAACTTTTTTAGTGGCACAGAATGCACATATGGCTGTTTGGGAGATGAACTCTGTCCAGTATCCACCTTGACTCTGCAGTCTAAGGTCACTGTTCATTGAAAATCTTCCCTTCCACTTCTATGAAGCCTAGATTCAGATTTCACAGACATCTTCTACTGATGGAACATTCACATCCCAACAGGATCAGGAAGGGTAAATTCAAAACATGTTTTTCTATACAAGTATGTTATGTTTGTATATTTTAATATATAAATGAATGTTAAAATATGGATGTTGTAGTTTTTAAATTCCAACTAAAATAGAAAGGATAGCCACCTAAGCCCATTTTAAGACCGATATGACTTATTTAAGAGTCTTAATTCCGTCAAAGAAACCATTGATTGACATTTGCAAAAATGATGAACTATGACCACAAAAATGTCAGTAGAAAAGAATTAATTCAATTTGGTCATTGTCCTTTATTCATGATGTACTTCAGTTAATTACCCATGCATTTGTACATGTCACCATTGGAGTTGAGCAGAACTCAGGGTCAGGCTTGCTCTCGCCTATCAATACAACACCAATCGCATCTCTGAAAGTGAAGTTCCTCTCCAATGTACATTCTGATAGCATCACATCAGAAGGCTCCAGCATTCTCCACACATTCCGGGAACTAATCGAAGGAGGTACAGTATGACAAACATTGCAGGTAACCAAAGCTGCCTTCAACAGTAACATGATATTTTTTAAATAAAAGCTAAGCCACCGACGCCCACAAAGAGCATGCTGCAGTTGCCTCTCTGACCTCTTTCATCTTTTCACATGTTCAGCTGACCACACAGCTTATAGTAGCATTTTTTTAACCCATAAAGAAAAAAAAATGTAGACATGTATACTGTATAGATATGCATATATTTAATTGATCCCATTCATGAAACCGGCAATACTTAAAAGTGAAACATGATCCCTCTATCGGTGTGCAAGTATTATGGCTTTGCAGGATAGGGCCCCTTGCTAATTGTAACTGAATCTGTACTGACCAAACCTAACTGCCTTAGTGCTCATATCAACTGAAGGTCAAACTAGGGGGCAATCGATTGAAGACACACTATAAGCACAATACTTGATTCCATCTATTCTCCCCAGCTTGTCAAAGATCTTATCTGAGGTCTGCAATTTACCAGGTCACTGTTTTTAGAGGAAGTCAGATCAAAATGACTTATCCCTTTGATTTATCTTCTGCCTGCGCACTACACTATTCAGAACACCATTTCTAATTTTAGCTTTCACAATACAGTAATCTTACAGGCCTGGGTTGACGGATCAACTAGCTACTAGCTACTGTGGCCAATCACTTTCCTGAAGGTGCAGAGCTCATCAACTAGTCACAGGACATCATTATCTACTATAGAGCAAGTGACCCCAGGTTAAAGGTCAACTGGTAGGACCCATAATAATGTCAAGTTGTATGCTGTCTTGTGCAGTCCATCTGGCTCTGTGGCTGTGACAGTGTACAGCCTTTATCTCAGTACACAGTGTGAGGTGAAACACATTTTAGCCAGCAAAAGGGACGTCATCCTGCATATAAAGGACCTGCTATTCTGGTAATTATGGTACACTTGACATTATTGATTAGTCAGCCCAATGATTTATGATGCCAGCTTACAAACACACGCATTCTTAGCTTAGCCATATGAAGAAATCCTAGAAATGTATGTTCAAAATCATCAGAAATTCATTACCACTGTCCAAATAGCAAATCATTCAGCCTCTCCCTGCTCATCTCTGAGGTCAAACTAAGCTAGCGATGTGTGAAACAATAACCAAAACCAATCGAAGGAGCAAACATCTTTGTTCTATTGAGGAAAACATGTTTTTCAGCATCAAATTATTAAAAAGCCCAGGAAAAATGTATCAATGTTTAAACATAGAGCTCTACCTAGTTTCTGTTCCTATTTGAAAGTAGAGGTGCTAAATGAGGCAAAAACCACACGATGGCTGTTTTTGTGCAGCTGTGGAAACTAGGGGTGGTCATGTCATTTATCAGTGTTTTATAGAGTATTCAGGAGGTGCGCTGACAGAGCATTAAGTGGCATTTAAATGAACATTATGCAAACACAAAGAAAGGACGATAAACTCCACTAAAACTCTCCATGTTAAAAAAAAAAACTTTTTCATGGCATATTTTCACTAGTGAAACCAGGCAATACAAATAGAAACTATGTAAAAGTGCATTTAAAATGAGGCACATTGTTATGCTAAAGGTTTGTAGGAGTAAGGAACAAGCTGCCCAGCCATGCTGTTTAAGCCCATACTGTGTCATGTACTGTATAAGGAAACATCTTTTCTTTATGAAATAAGATCCTCATATCAGTTATCTAACAAAAATCAAATGGCCTCCTCTTGTTTTCTAACTTAATAATACTGTTCACAATAATGTTTAAAACCCTTTAACCAGTAATAATCAATAAATTATCATTACATTAAAATCTATAAAGTACATGTGAAAAGAAGTTTCTTCTTCCCTGTTGGATCAAAGAGAGAAGAAAGCCTGGAAGTGCTGTTGTAGCTGCATACTAGGATGTGTGGCTTCAGTCGTAAGACAAAAATCATGTTCTTGTCTATCGAGACCTCTTAGAAACAGCAGAGCAGAACAAAAACTTGCTTTGCAGCTGAAGGTTTAAACATTAAAACTGTCATGATGAAAGCAGACACACTGTATCTTGATCCTCAAAGTGATTGTTTTGGAAAAATGGTTTGGTTCAAATGGTTACTTTTGTTATTATTATTGTTCTTATTATAAACAGAAAGATTTGTTAGTATTGTTCTGTCCATCCTCAGAAATATCCACAGATTAAAAATAGAAAGATTCCCAGGAATTGGCAAATTTTCTGGATTTTTCCTCAAGTCGCCTTTTCTATACTGTAGCTCTCTTGCAATCCCAAGACCAGCTGTGGTACTGTAAACACTGGAGGCCTTCTGGTGTATCATATTGTCTTAACAAGAGCTGCTTACAGAGAGACCTACAGTACAAATATGAAATCCCAGTCTCTTGAATATTTTAACACTACTTGGACAAGTAACTTGACCACATTAGATTAACCTACATACAACCTACACTGCTTAGACGATCACTGATGTACTGTATAGGAGAGGCTTCATGGTAAGATACAGGTTGAAAAGAAAAAACTCATTCCTTTGATTTTCCACAACCTGGTAAATGTTGCTCACATGCTGTTTAATTGTAGATTTTAAAATATCAAAAATGTTAAGAGATGTCTTGGAGTAGTTTGTTGATTGTTAATTGTGTATCATTCATGGTTGAAAAGGTAATCTGAAAAATTCATTTAGAGTTTAACAATGTTTGTTGCTCGTGATCTTTTTTCGAACTATTATTTTCTTTAGTTTGAGCATAGGACTGTCAAGTAAAATATGACAGCAGACACATAGGTGTTATTTTCGTGTCAAAGCAACAGCTGAGAATTTAATTAAATCTTTCTGTAAACACTGTACAACGGAGATCTACACCGCTGCAGTGTAGGCGTGCAGGCACTTCACTGGCAACTGTATCATCAGACAGAACTTCGCCGCTAATTAAACAAGAACTCCTACTACCGGAGCAGCTATTGACAGGCTGAGGACTGCGTTGTAATGGAGTACTTGCACAACTTTGTTTTTACTAAATAACACAATTTGCGAATCATCATCACAAATAATAACATTAATGTACTCATGCTTCAAAACTAGAACACGTTCTCAAATAATCCACAACGCGGCGCATGTAATACATTATATCCCAATTCTGTTTAATTTTCAATTATTTTGTGGTAGACCCTCAACGATTTTTTTACTTACTGAACATAAAATAATTTTATATCAGCCCATTCATGAGCTAGTACAAATTCTCTATATATTGTATATCTATAGATTATTTGCTATATATTATATATGGCAATAAAATGATCAAATCAAATAAGACATTAATAATATGTTTGCGACAGCGCTTTAACCATTTGTGTACATACCATCAGTGCATTTACTGTGATTGTGGTTGGCGTAATACAAGTGCAGAAAACATATGGCTGAACATATGGTTAAAAGCTAAGTAGTTTCCACAAGCAGTCAAGATTTAACAATCTATATTCACTTAATTATAAATGCAGTGCTGGTTAGTTCCATCGCTAACTTTTTTTTTAACCGATTAACAAGAAAGAAGGGACGCCGTCACATGAGATGGAGCATTGCGATAAATAGACGCATAAACTTGGTTTACCTGTACCAGTTCAGACCCCGTGCGTAGTGCCTGTCGAAGAAGTGCGGTTCCGATCCCAGCGCCCTAATGTCGGGGTGAAGTCTCAGGAACTCCAGGAGCGCCCGGGTTCCACCTTTCTTCACACCTATGATAAGAGCCTGAGGTAGCCTCCGTGCCGCAGCCCAGTCCTTTCCTGGGCTGCTTGTCTCCAGACTTCTCGCACTTGTACCTACAGCATCCGGCGACCCCGTGGCCAAGCTGGGAGCGTTTATGAAGTTACTATCATATGATACGTTCTTTTCGTGGTATCGCCCTGTGAAGAACAGCTGAGTTGATTGCCCCAAGCCCGTGTTTTCAACAATATCAGTCTCGCAACAGCCGCCCAGAAAGTAAAAAAGTGAAGCGCATATAGTGCAAAGCGACAGCATGACCAGCAGTTTGTGCAGAAGTCTCCGGGTTTCCAGGTAAGGGTGATAAAATATCGCCATCCCTCTAGGAAAAGACAGAAGGCAGCCATTCTATAACTAACGCAATTCTGTGAACTTTAAAAGACGCAAGCATTTTCGGCTAAGGCATTAGCGAGAGATGAGAATGCAGACATGCTGCTAAAACGGTGTCTGTAAATTCCAAAGTCTCAGAAAGTGCACAACGCTCCTACTGCAGATTCACAGCGAAGCGCTAAGAACCCTCCATCTCACTGTGTTCATTTCTTCCCTCGGTTGCGGTGCTTCGCCAGCCCACGCAGAAAGCAGGACAGAAGATGCTGCATTTAATTTTCGAGCGCTGGTTATCTTTCTAAGACTGCCACTTGCCTCTTTATAGGTCTCCAGAGTATTGCTCTCCGGGACTGCTCTCATTCATTCATGAAAATACGCCCATCAGCCAATGTTGCTCACGATACACTTTCATTGGGGGAACCAAAACAGAGGCGGGTTTATTTGACATAAAAAGTATGGGGTCTACCCTACGTACGCGTCGTTTTTAGATAGCCAAGTGTTAATATAATAATATTACGTTAGTGTTATGAAAGTATTGTTTGTGTTACTGGTCAAAAAGAAATATAGTTTTGATGGAATTTTAATTATGTTAGTAATGTTAATGCATTTGTCTTAAGCATGGACTTAAGAAACGTGCTTCATCATTGAAAACATACTGAATGGACCTAATTCACTAAAGGTTCTTATGTAAAAAGTTGCACCTTATCCAATGATAGTCTTATTCACACTGTTGGTGCAGCCTGACACTTAAGGAGTTTTGTTAAATCGTCTCAATATTCAAAAGTTCTGCAAAGGGCATGCAATCACAACTCTACATTAGTGCACACCCTCTCACCCACCACATTTTGCTGAATACATTGTAAGCAGCTAAGTGGGCTCCCTTTATTCTTCAGCTTCAGGTGCATTGGAACATGAAGGAAACAAAGGTGTAATATGCGTATAGATTGGGCAAATAACTGTGATCTGAAGACTCAAATATTAACACCCATATGAGACAATCTGCTTCATCATAAGAAATGAAAGACTGTCATTATAAAAGTGTGACTTGCATTACAGCATTGTGCCAGAAGTAGTAATATCCTAAATTCCTGTGTTCCCTGAGGTGTGTTCTTCGGCAGGTGCAACACATGTTTGCTCACAGCTTTTACTGTATAACACTTTCTATCCAGCAAAAACAAAGAATTGCAGCTTGATTAGATTGTCATGGAAATATAAGAATGCTTATCCGTGGCTGAAGTCCAAAACACTGTGTTCATGCATTGGTTTCCCTGAGTGTACAAGGAAATGTTCTTTAGGGAAAGTGTGCTTTGTTGGACATGTTTGTTTTCCCTTTTTAAGAAATTCAAGATAGCACGAGCAACAAAGATCAAATCCTCTAGGGAAATGTTGTTTCATAAAGCTAGTGATGACTGCCAAGGCAGTTTGCAGTTGATTAAACACAACCAGGTCTCAAGAATCCTCTAACTTGTTAAGCTTTTAACAACCCAATCTGTTTTCTTTTCCTTCCTCCCCTACACAACATCTACAGTACAGTATGTGATTAGCTTGGACTGGAATGTCTTCTTAGTGGTAGAACATAAGAGGAATAGTTTAAGAAAGGTTATAAATGAAGTCATTTGGCCCATCTCGCACATTTGGTAGCTAATTGATCCAAGGATCTCATCCATTCATTTCTTGAAAGAAAGGAGGGTATCATCCTCAACAGATTGCTTATCAGTATCTGATGGATGCTGAAGTTGATACATACTGTAGTGACAGGTGACTGCCTCAGCAAAAGAAAGCCAGAATGTCATTAGTTATTGAGGCAACCCAAGCGATTTGTTAGGCCGGCTGGATTTGGATGCAGTTATATATCATTAATGGGGTGTCATGGTAGTAAGGTAGTTTGCACTGTTGCCTCACAGGTGCAGGAATTGATTCTAGTTTTGAATGCCTGTCTGTATGGAGTTGTTATATTTTCTGCACAGGTGTTGTTTTGTACACCTGTGTTCATCTAGGGTTTTGATGAGTACTCCGGATTCTATCCACCTCCCTGGTTCAAATGCAGGTTTAATTGAGTACTCTAAATTGTCCCTTGCCAGAGAGTGGTTGTTCCCAATATGACTTGTAATGGTTATCTCACTAAAAGAAATAAGTTGGTGAAATGACTTCCTCAGAAGCATGTGGTTAATTAGTACTGATAGTTCAGCAATGTGATCCTGATGGAAAGACTATCCATTCATCCATTTTCTAAACTATATCCAATATAATGCAGGAGCCACAGGCTATCTTGGCAAGCAAGGGGTGCAAGGCAGGATACACCCTGGACGGAACACTAGTCCATTACAGGGCAGACACAGACACACACCAGGGTCAATTTCCCAGATGCCAATTAACCCCACTGTATGTCTTTGGATTGTGGAGGAAACCGGAGTCCACAGAGGAAACCCACACAAACACAGGGAGAACATACAAAGTCTACTCAGATAGCAGCCCAGGAACTGAACACACAGTCCCAGTACTGCACAGCAGCAATGCTAACCACTTTTATTTCTGGTTGTTTTGAGGAACAAAATGGACATGTTTTTACTTCTCTGGACAGATTGTTGTTGTTAACAAATAATTTTGTATTGTTTTGAAACCATGTTGTTGTTCTCACTGAGAGGGATACTGCCTTATGCTCTGCAGAATGTATTTTTAAACAAAGAAAAAATATTTTTGAATAAATAAATATGTTAGTCAGACATCTTAGTGTCTGACTATGGCACAAAATGTTAAAATTGAGTAAATTCTTTGAACGAACATGGACCTTCAGCAGATTCTCCGAGTCCTTACTGCAAAAGTTCTGGTGGCAGAAAGTGAACACAGATGCTGTGTTTTATTTGGTTAAAAAGTGAGAGGGAAAACAAATGGGCCAACTGCTACATTGAGAATGCATCTATATTCTCCATGCATTTGGAGAGACTCGTTGAAAAAGGAACAGTGATAAATCATTCGACAGAGCTGTCTGCAGAGGACGAAAGACAGAGAAGAATTTATCTATCTTGTGCTATCAATTTCCTTTTATTTATGTGTATAAACCATTTATAATTTAAACTTAATAAATGACTTCTGTAGAAGAATGTGTGTCAGTGAGAGAGAGAGTTCCTTTAGCAATTTCTCTCTGCTCACAAAACTTACACAAATCCCAAAGTCATTGCTATTACAGTGATGTTTTTAAGTGACCCCTTGTGAGTATTCAGACATTAAATGTATTGTACTAAATTAATTTTAAAGCCATTCTTGGAAGTATGTGGATGTTCAGTTAAGTGCAAATGTACTGCTTAGGTGTAGTTGTAATATATTTTTTTGTGCATGAGGGTGCATTGATCTAAAGATAATCCTGGCCAGACCTAAATTTGGGAATATTTTTGCATACCTGCTGTATGTCGAACGTCTGTCTGTTACATTAAGTCAGAATTTAACTGTAGTCTTGAATTTTGTTTTATACTATAGTGTACTATAGTGATTTTGATTATTATTCAAAGTGAATTTTGATCAGGCAATTTTGAGCAGGGACAAAGCTATAACACGCACTTAATATACAGTAAATGAAGCAGATAAATTATTCTCCTTTTCTGCCCCTAAAAGGAACCCACTCTTAATTATCAGCTTGGTTTCCAGGCATCCTGTAACTTTACTCAAGTCTGGGATCGTGGAATCTGGGAGTGTCTTAACTGAGCTCCTTTGTTTCATCTTCTTCTGTTTGACAGAACAATTAAGAAACGTATTGATCATGCTCTGTTGCTATTTAATGTAAACCAAAGGGAGAGACTATTTAAAACCAATGAACGGTGAAATTGTTACTTTACTTACAGTACATACAAATTAAGAAGTGAAGTGTTTTTTTTAGATTGACTGTTAATCTGCAATGCAGACGGCAAACAAGGTTTTTCACGCAGATATGCTGAATGTAAATCCGTATGCACACTCAGGTGACAAAATAAAAACAGGAGAAGGATGATTCACATGCAAAATCAACTGAGGCTGTGATCCAGCATTGCGTGTTTGTGCCTGGGTCATGCCAGCAGCTACGGGTGACCAAGAGTTTCCAGACTGCAGCCCACAGGTGTAATGATATCAGTGGACACTGCACAGCTCCTCCGCTGACTCTCCTGTCAGGCGCTGTAGGGCTCAGAGCACGTCAAGAGATGAGCGGGAAGCTCAAAGGAGCCTGTCCATCTGTCCTCACTGTGTATTGCAGGAGTCGCTGCTTTGAGCTGAGAAGTAAAGAAATGGTGGGCAGTTCCAACCTAGCTGGGTAGGGAATGAAAAATATTAGAAAAATTCATATGAACAAGATAATTACTGAAACTCACTGTTGACCATAATACTGTATTTTGCTATAAACTCAACACCATGATGCTGGCATGCGTAAGGTTTGCTGATACACCGCCTTTCTTGAGCTTGTCTTGTCTGAGTAGGGAACATCGATCAAGGGTCACCAAATGGCAGATAATCCAGGTGCATTAATATTTGAATTAAAAGTCCTGACAGAAAAGTAACAAATGGCATTCAGCATTCTGAACCGCATTGAGACGGGGAAGTCTGGGGCAGATTCTGGATTACACTGGAGAGTCATTTATTTGTATTTTTCATCTGAGTGTTGCCCACTTTGTGTGCCTCTGATTTATGTTTCCCTCTCTGCTAGCAGCTCAGAGCAGATGTGTCCTTCGCCCCCAGGCCAAATTTTTCCTGACCATAACGTTAAGTAAGATGAAAATATGCAAAAATATATTTTTTTAAATGGACCCTGGTAATTGGGTTTCCCTGAGCTAATCACTTTGCTTTCTCATAATAGCCTTCTGCTACTCAGATAGGCTTCACATACCATTTTTGCATCTTATGAGAATATGTTGAGTGAGTGATTCCTAACAGGAATACGTACTGTACAGTAGGAGAAGAGAATAAAAGTTCAGACCAATTTAATGTGCCTCCTGATGATTTTTTTTGAAGACCCTCTAAAGGATGGTTTTGAATTTTCATCAAAATGGACAAAACTACATCTTTCCAAAAGTCCTCTCACTTGTTATTCAGAATTTCAAAGGTAAAACATGGTCATAAACAAGAGCTGTAGACAATTCAATATTTTTCTGTTTTAATTAATCATTTCAAAATGCTTTGATGAGTCTTAGGGAGTCTTTAATTAGAGAAATGGCTATTGAAGTAATTGCATCATTTTTAAATTGTGTGACAAGCATCCATTTCTTTAAACATATCGCCCCATTTTTTTTCTTTCTCAGAAGACAGCTCCTAAATAAATTTACATTATGGATATAAAAATTAATATCAACTGCATTACTCTGATTTATGATACAACATA